TTTCCACGCAAGAAAGAGTTAAGAAGAATAGGTCTCTTTACCTTCAAAAAAATATGTTTTAAGGATGTTATCATAGAAGTCTACAAAATCATAACTGGCATGAGAAGGGTGGGTAGGAATTGACTGTACTATTACTTTTGCTACAAGAATTAATGGCCATCAAAACCAAAACATAGTAGGCCCCAGGTTCAATCCGAAAATGAGGAGGTTGTTTCTCATGCAGCAGAGTACAGATCCGTACTCCTTGCCAAAGGATGGTCTGGTTGCAGAGAGAGTAAATGGATTCAAAAGGAGTGTAAATAAGTAATTGGAAGAGATCTGTATTAAGGATTACCCAGTAGAGAAATCACACCAGCTTCAGAGAATCCCTTGGACTGAAAATATTGGGACCCTAGGAGAGCCACTAATGGAAACACAACACTTGTCCTGTTCTCGTTCTTCCACGAGTATCCACCAACAGCCACTGCTGGCGAGGCTGGTGGCTTAGACAAACGCCAGAGCTGAGCCACTTTGACATTTCTTGCACTCTCTTCTTAGATGAAACTGCTTACGTATATGACATCTAACTTCTGCAATTCGGGTGTCCTTTTGGAAGAGATTTCTCATAGCTGTGAGGTTTTATTGTCTTTTTTTTTTTTTTTTTCTTGTTGTCTGTACCATCTCCATTTCATGACATGACAGTTATAAAGACCACTTTTGGGACTAAGGCTTTTTGATACCAAATGATGTTCAAGAATGTAGGTGGCAAGAATTCTGAGTTTCAAAATGCGAACTTTAGAAAACTTCACAAGTATCTCTGTCTGTTGAAGAACCAGAGATGATATTTGTATAAGGGGACATGTTAATCACTAACAATTGCTAATTACTACCTCAAGAAATAAGGGAGAGAGATAGTTAATTGCAAATGCTTTTAAAGGCAGAATTTGTTTCACATGTCAACTGCTGTTTGAAGATGTAGCCTTTTTTCTAAGCTAGTCAGCTAATTTTTTTTTAACAGTGAGAGGGGCGGGGAGGGGGGGGAGTGGTATGTGCAGAGAGAGCCTGATGATTAGCTCAGACTTGCTGCTGAACTTGTATGGAGCTACAGACAGGTTTGATGAATGCAACCCTATGTGGCCTGGAAGAAGCAATTTGAAGTCTTGCATCTCTACCAAAATTGTAACTACCAGGAGTCTCCTGACTATTTTCCTCTCAAGAAGGCTGGACAGTTATTATCAGATAAGTCTAACTGTGCAAAAGGGGATATGCTTTTCGGTAAGAGTGAAATTTCTGAGTTTAATGAAAAGAAACCTGTAATTCTTTCCTTTCACTAAAGAGCACCTTTCGTTATGAGCAGGTAGAAGCACACCACATATGGCAATGCATGGTTAATTCAATTTGAGTGTGTAGAGTTGAGGATAGCCAATTAACTACATTACCATGGGACTAATATAACCAAATTGTGCAACTAACTTAACTGGGGAGAAGATAAAGTTTTTAAGTCCCGTTTTCTAGTAAGTATCTACCCTAGTTCCCATTCATTGAAGGGAATCCATTAATACAAGTTTATCCTTGAATGATACAGGTCAGATACTAGTTGCTTTACTCAGCTATGAGGCAACTAGAGAGAGCCTTGTAAAATTTAAAAATGTTCAGGATTCTTTTTTTCCTTTTTTTTTCTGAAGCCCTAGTTAATTCCCCACAATAAATACGACTCTATTTCTTTTACCCAACAAAGTTAGCCACTCACACATATACATCAAACCTTTTCTCAGCTTCTCATTCTTTTAATCATCCAAACTACTGTGAATGTTCCACACATAATTTTCAGAAGCTCAGTAAAATGAACATCCATCCTTTTTTACCAAAAGAGTCTTACCTCTATTATAAGCATATACAGCTTTATAGCTAGTATTTATCATGTAAGAATTAATTTTACACCAGATTTTTACTGCTAATTCTATGTCCTTTAGCTATTTTTAGTGGTTGAATGATCATATTTATATCATGCATAATTACTTTTCTGCTAAAAAAGATTGAGCCAAAATTTTAAAATATGGGCCAAAAAAAGTTCATTACTCCTAAAGAGAGCCTTAGCTGTGGAAATTTTCAGCCCATAACGTAAAGTTGAATGTCTGAGAACAAGCAGAACTGAAAACACTGCAACTTTTTTTATAACATTTGATAATATTCATACTATAATTATGCGTACTTTGTATGGGTTTTTTTCATTCTGCTTACTGTAAGTGAGGAAATAACAGTTTCAGTTGAATGTCTTCATCAGAAGCTACTTTCATCAAGCCAAGTATGCCTTGTGGAGACTCTGAATGTTTAACTCTTACCCTATGCTAAATTCAAAGTCTAATAAAATGCAGGATTCAATAAAACCTTGAGAAACGCAGTGCATATTTATTCTTGAATGATGCAGCTAGGGTATCTGTGCTATCACCTGGACATTACAGCACTGTGCAGTTATTGGCATGTAAGATGGTATATCCCATCTAATATACAAACAACTGTGTTCTGCCTTTAAAAGGTTCTAATTTTTTCTCCATTAGTAACATCAAAAAGCCACTACCTTCATTACCAGGCTGCTACTGAACTGGTACCTAAAATAGAATTAAACCAAAATGCTATACTAAACAAACACCCAAACGGTGTTTTCAGGGCACAGTGCATGAGCTGCTGCCAGAATTTGAACAGATTCATTGGGAAACCTGTTCTGGCATTGCCACTGTCCAGTTCTTACTTTTTCTTTTTCGTTTGGTTCTTTTTCTAGAACAACTGCTACGTTGTCATCAGGGCAGTATGCAACATGACTGTAGCTGAGTAAATTATTTTTTCTTACATAATACAGAGAAAAAAGATGACATGCCAAGTACAGTATGATCATAGCAAAACAGAAGCCACTCCTTCTGTGACATTCTATTCTTACTCCACATTTTCAGTGGCTCATTAATTTTTGAAATTTTCCATGCTTGATCTCTCCCCAGAAGTGCTTTTTGTTTTTTATGCTTGACCAAATTTGCCTTGCTGCTCCTAAGCAGTAAGAAAAAAGGAAGGAAAGGGGACAGGACTAGGGGACTGAGGGAGGAAACAAGTAGGGAGAGAGAAAAGGAGGGAAAGGCAGGTAATTAGAATGCCATAACTGCAAACTGTTGTTAGTGAAAGAAGATTTTGCAATGGAAGGGTATTAGACTTCATTTGTGGAGAAGTGCTTTCTTTAACGGAAACAGATGAAACTGTTTCTGATGTCAGCGACTGATGCATCTGTACATGCTTCTGTTCTTTTAACAAAACAAAAGCTCTATACTGGCCAAGATTCATGTTTTGACTGTCACCGTACTCTAGGGATAATTCCCGCACTTTTCCTGTCCTACATGCTAGATTTTTATAGTACATTCTCCTCTTGACATTTCAAAAGCTACCGAGGGGAGCCACAGGCTAAACTGGCAGAGGCAATGCAGAAGACAGAGCCCTCCACCTGCCCTCCAGAACACTTACAAGTTCATAATACAATGAAAGGACTCAGGCTATGTCTCTGTTAGGGAATTAAATGGGCCCAAGCACTGGAATACAGTCATCTGTATTGTTAAAATGTTAGAACAATCAGGGTTTGGCCTGATTTTCACGTGAACCATCCAGCAATGACCCAGCAGTCATGGGCACTGTTCACCATTCCCAGCTGGCGGTTTGTAAGGAGGGAGGCCACTATCAGACTTTCATAACACAGACGTGGCAAAACTGTGCCAGCGGCCCTCAGAGCCCGTGAATGGGCAAGGCATTGTTTCTTATAACTATTTTAAATACAGAACTTGATTGGGTTTGGATTGTATGACACATTGTCCCTTCACAACAAAGAGCAGGATTAAATGGTACAGACAATCCATCACAGACCTATGCTCTTCTTATGCCCCAAAGCTTGTTAAGAAAACCGCAACCTTCACATATCTTTCCAAAAGTACAGATGTCATCCTGTGCTCTGTTGGGTGTTATACATACATTTTATATATATATATGTGTATATATATATATACACACAGAGACATATATTCAGCACCACTCCTCCTATTGCAGAGAATACTAAAGGGCATTACTTGGTATCACTGAAAATTATACAGGTTTCATCACATATCAGACTGCTCCTCCTTTATTCTCCCCTTTTCTTGTTTCTTTTCTCTTTTCCCTGTTTATGCTTTCTTCTCTCTGAACTTTTCAACTTCATTCTTCTCTGTTTTTTCTTCCTCATTTCAGTAGAGGGTATCAGCCAACTGATAACAGAAACATCCTTGACTAGGTCAGGCATGAGCACCACCCAACAGAATACGGTGAGATTTATATTCCCATTAAGCAGCTACCTTTGTTATAAGCAAGATGAACACTGCGTTCCTCCCACATAAGCACCGTGCCAAAGAAAATTCCAGCTGCTTCCACACACAACACAACATAGCATAGCATAGCATAGCATAGCATAATAAAGCCCCAAAACTGAAATACAGACTAGAGTTTACACAAAAAAAAAAAAATTTAATGGCTTGTACATCATATTCCAGCTTCCTCATCTCAAGTAAAGACCATCTTAACCAAGGATGCTGCTTCACAAAGTGAAACAAAGCAGCTCTCCCTTCGTGGGTGGCTTTCAGTGGTTTCATCTGCACAGATGCATGGTTAGCAAGTAGGGAGAGCGGAAAAAAACTTTCAGCCAGGAACGTTCTAGTCCAGCCCCTCTCTGTTTTAAAGAATGGCAGGAAACCATGAGTTTCTCTCAACAATTAAGGATTTTACTCTTTGACATCCTTGCGTAGCAGTGACTCTGACAGACTGGTGCAGAACAGAGCATAAATCAACTTATTTCTTTGTGTCGATCTAAAATAAAATTCACTCTCCTGGCCATTCATTCACTAGGTCAAATGAGATTAAATGTTACAGAATAGAATCAGAAAGAGTATTTCAACACAGAAACAGAAAAGCCATGGACGTTTTTCATACGATGAAGAACTACTCAAATACTTTAATCTTACCTCCCTGAGGGGATCATTGAGCTCATTCAAAATGTTTTCTTCATCAAAGATCTTGCCTTGGTAGCGGTGCTCATAGTAATCATGGATCTTTTGGCGCATTTCAGCAGGTAACTTGTGGAATGACATGTACTGTTCCACTTGTTTGTACTGTCAGGACAAGAAAAGGACAAATCAGAAAAAAACCCTCCACTTTTTTACTATCTGAATGCATCTACAAAATGAAAATTTGATCATGTATCCACTTAGGCTTCACATATTTTACAAAGATAACATTTTATTTGTACGTCAGAGAACCCTCGCTCCTTATTAGTTCCTCCTTATTAGTTCCTTTAGTATTATTCATGTGACAGCACAACTATAAACTACAGAAACTGCCTTTAGTGTTGATGCTAATATCCACATTAATATATAAGTTTTGGAAGCCAAAGCCTCACACTTGTCATATGTTCCCTAAATTCCCAACTATTTAGAAGCTGTGAAAATACAGCAACACCATTTTTAGCTCATTCCATGCAGCAGACAGGGAAACTGTACACAGTATGTATCTGCATCTCTAGTGCTGCATTCAGAGAGAGTTTAAGGTGCGAAATTTCAGAAACTGTCTATGCTGTATTAATGTGCAACATATTAATGTTGTGTATCCTTATAATGTGACTGAAGAACAAAGTCAAAATCTGTGGAGATAATGTAAAGGAAAGCATTCCTCAGAAGGAATGAAGAGAAGAAATATGTGAACTGGAAAAATAAGCATGGCATCAGAAAATAGAAAGTGGGGGAAGAGAGAGATGCCGGGACCCAGGAGACTCAGAGGACCTCACTTCTTTTACCTTATGCATTTGGTTTCCTTGTTTCTGCTAGTTCTCTGTCCCGTCTTCTGCTTTGGGTGGTTCCAGAAGCCTTTTTGGATAGCACAATTTTCAGAAAAGAAAGTCCCAAACTAACATATTCAGAGTGGTACTGTACTAAACTGCATGATACATCTGAGACCCACAAAGTGGGGAAGCTGCCTCAACCACAAATGGACAAGTACCGCCTGACCAAGACTTTTGCCCCTCAGATCCTCCATCCGTGTCTCAGCTGAAGAGGATATGGCGCCGAGACGCAGAAGGATGAAACTGCTCCCAGACTTATAGGTGAGTTAAAACTTGGCAGAAACTTAGGTAAAGAGTCTTAATTTAATTTTTTTCCTCATTTTTTCATACTTAATTAGGCAATTTTAACTGTTTTCAGTGAAAAAGCCAATGAAGTCTTAATTAGGATTAGCATCTCTGTAGAGCAATTAAATGAATTTATAATGTACATGCACTCCTGATGAACTGCAGCATATATCCTTTAACTTGCATAATTGAAGGCTGCTTCATCCTCTGGAACTGAAATTAGTTTTTGCTTTGCAAAGTGGCAAAAGATTATACAAGGCCACGTGTACAACATGTGTTCCACAAATAACAGGGAAGTAATTTTGCATGGGACTATTTAACAATGTATGATGAATATGTAAGCCTGGTTTAACCTCTGCACAGCTATTTTGCACCTCTGAAGCAAGAAATCTTCACCCCGCTCCTTTAGAAGTGAGATTTAAATTTGCATACTCATCATTGGCTTTTGTTCTCGTATCAAGAAATTTATCCACATGTTGGGGGTTCGAATCAGACTTCTGGGTCACCAGAAGACAGACGTGCTCTAGCATAAACAAAGTATTGCTTCTAAAATTACCCTGCTAATCAGTTACAGCTAATCTAGGCACGGATTTACTTAGAGGGAAGGGACATGAGACCGCCCAGTGCTCTATATATGTCACCAAGGTGGTCACGCAGTCCCAGCTGCCGTGCAGCGCTCCAGCTTTTCTGCAGCAAAGCCAAGAAGGCGCAGCACTGCGCAATGTCCCCTCCGTCTCCGCGTCCAGCCCTCCGTTGCTGTGGCCTCACGGAAGGATATGTAACGTGTGCCATGTGTCGTAGCACATGTGGACAGGGAAAGCCCCAGCAGGGGGGCTGCACCCCTCTACCCAACCTTATTTGCATACAAATGTGCTTGAGCAACACTAATACCTTGCTAATAGAAAATATACAATGCAAGAGAGCCGCAAGGGACCTTCATACCAGAATGACCTTGAAGAAGAGAACACTCATGCTAAAAGCAATTTGCTTTGCCAGCAATTTAGACTGCTCCCTTTCGTTAGTGCTGTTGCTTGAATAGGTGCTTCCTCCCACACAAGCGAGCTCTTTTCTCTACCGGGGTTTGTGCTTACACAGGAGAATTTTAGGGAAACAGAAAAAATAAAACTAGTAGGAATGTATCACCGGTGTGTCTCAAAACGTTTCCAAATTAATAACACATAGAATAATGGGGACAGCTGCATATTAGGAACATTTTCTTTAAAAAATCTACAAATAGGAAGTTAAAGTCTCCCACAATTCCCAGAAATATTTAACCATCTAAAATACTATCAAGGTCTCTTTCCATGTCATAATATCTGACCCTGTGAGTGTACATTATATTATCACGATCACCCTCTAATAAATCTTTTCCTAATCTTCCTCAGGGTGATTTTGACTCATATTCGGTATCATTCACGCTACTACTACTCCCTTCTTGACATTCTGTCACAGCATTCACATGAAGTGTTCCCTCAAAACTTCTAACGTTCTTTTCTTCAGCAACTGATATCTTTCACTAACCCAGTCCAAGCAATGATTGCTTTTTTTATTTCCCCGAAAAGCAAGTTCATTTTTTCAGCGTGCTATACGTTACTGGCAATGTTGAGGGCTTCCCGATTAGTCATCACTGTGGTGTGTCACATGCTAGTTGCAAAAAAGTGTGCTAAAATGAAGATACAAAGAGGACAAAATTAATATGGTCGTGTTTATTTTGTGTAATAAACCATTAATTTGTCCAAGTTAACTCTGAAGAATATTTTCTCCGTGGGTACCACAGATATCAATAACAGTTAGAAATTGAGACATTTTTCAGTTTTAAATAATTATATTGGTTTTCACGGTTGGGAATTTTTTACTCATGAAAAAAATGCACATAACTTAAATAGAACTGTACTATTTTCTGGGAAAAAATTACATGACAAAAAGGTTTCAAAATTCTCTTTAGCACTGTGAATACCTTGAATAAATATGTAAATTCAGTATCTTCTTCCCCTGATTTTTCTAAGTGTGATTTTACATATGGCATTGATAAAATTGTCATTGAAGTTAAATTTTGTCAAAACTTTGTATTTTAATCACATTTAAAACAGCTGTAACTGATCCATCAGACCTGACACTTGGACCTTCATGTACGAGTGGAAGCACTGTATATTTTTCCTACTAGATTGAAAATTTTGATTTGCTTGGTGGGGTTTTTTTGTTTGTTTTGGTTTGGTTTATTCAGAAAAATTCAGTTACCTTTAAAAAAAATAGGTATGGAAAAAGGCAAAGGAGAGGAGTGAGGTCCTTTTCATAATGATTTCCAATGGAAGCAGGAAAAAACCTTTAAAATTAAGGCAGTATCCCAATACAGGCAATACCCCAGTGAAACCAGTAAAACAGAAACCTGAATGTTGATCTCTCACAAGATGTTTTAGTACATCAGCTAAACCTACCAGGTCCTTTCCTCATAATATTTCATAACTAGCAAGTTGACCTTTTTAGCTGAAAAAATTCTCAGAATCCTAATAATCTTTACAACTCAATATTCAGTCCTTGATACAGTAAAACATACAAATATATGAAATACATGAACAGTATCAGTTAAAAAAAATGAAACTAATGACATTCATGTACAGTACCTGGATCTGGTCACACTCAAACTACCTGAATACCTTTCTGGAACAAGTGCCAATATCAGATTTTTCCAAAATGTCATCACTCAACAACTGCGATAACAGACTATTTTTCGAAGGACCTAGGTCCCTGTACCTTCACTTAAAAATTCAGCTTGAACGATAGGCCTTTTGTACTTCATACAATGATTTTGTCCTTGGCATAGAGTCTCACTTCTAGGAAAGTTCCCCCCTAAAAAACTATAAGCATCTGTGAAAATCTTTATGTTCAGGTTCTCTTTCCTTTTACCACAAATGTAATCTTGACCCTTAAAGTATATTCATAAAATATTTTAATTGTGTTTTTGACATACTGTATAAGATGTTAACATAAAATGAATCACATATAGACAGACTAGAAAAAAAAAAAGAGGAAATAGCATTTTACTTTATCGGAGGTCTATATCCAGTCAAAGCCACAGCCTTATGAATATAAACTTTTCAATGAGAAGTGTAAAAAAAATAAATCCCATATACTAATTACAAATGTAAAAAGAAAGCAGGGATCATTTGTAAAATCCTTCTGCTGAATTAAGCAAGTTCTGTCCCACAATTTAGATGCACTAAATTCATCAGTATTGAAAATGCTTGCCTGCCATTTATAAAAGAAGAATCTAAGCAGGATTGTAATATGCAGATCTAGCTCACTGCGAAGGAGCAGAAAGGTGAGAGGAGGCAAACAGTTCAAGATGATGCCTTTCTAAATAATGAACATCAAGTGAAGAACCATCACAGCTCTGCATGGTTTCTAAACTGCATTAGGAAAAATAGGTCCCCGAGTTATTGAATTTATTCCCCTGCTATTGCAAAACCTCACATTATATAACTCCTTATAACCAAATCAAGCCATCTCAAAACCACTTAGGCTCCACCAATCCTTTAAGAATATAGTTTCAAGAAGCTCACTGGTCTTATATATAGTTCGGAACTATATTCTTTAAATTTCAGTCTAAATGTACGCATATGCAGTGTAAATCAACTAATGCTTAGTACAAAATTATCTAGCAGCTCCAAAAGGTCCTGTCCCTTGGTATTTCTCTCTGGACTGTTTATAGATGGGAATCATGTCTCTTGCCAGCCTCGTCCAAATAATCTATTCCACTTTTTGTTCAGAAGACAGCACACTGGCCCTCTTCTTTTTCATCCATTCCAGTTTGAGTTCATCTTTCTCAAATTGCAATTACTAGAACTGTACATAATATTTTAAAGGAAGTCTCACCAACTCATACTTCATACTATCCTTTCTTTCCCATCTAGTGGAAAACCAAGATGCATTGAAATGGTTGTTTGCAGTCATTCTATGAGCAGCTTCATCACGCAGATTCCTCATTTTCTC